TTGATACTACACTAGAAGATTATGCATACAAAACGCAAACAGACCATCAGTCATGCAGAAATTGTCTGCAGAAGAAGCGTTTGGAAATATCTTGTCTATTAAAATTTGCTGGTATATTTAAACTTATTTAGCCTTGTGGCCACCTATTCTACACGTTAGGAGATGCATATTGTGGGAACGTTGAAAATCTGCAGTTTTTCCACGAAATTACTACTATGACCCAAAAGAAATATAAAGACCAAACTTTTATGATGCGAGAACGATTTAAAAATTTTGGTATGCAAATAAAATTACAAGACTGAGAAGATTTTTAAGCGATGATGTCATTCGTTATCGCGTAATGCTCGGTTGTCGCCCTGGCAGTCGCCGTGCCTTATGTCGGAGTTCCGATGATTTCCTGATCGATTTATCCCTTCGAACCGAAGAGCACTGAGAACTAGGTCCGATCCACAAAATACAAAATTGATGAGGAAATTGAGATAAGCTGAAGATCGAAAAGGTGAGTCGCAGCTGTTGAGACCGAACCAGATTGGAAGGAAACTAACAGCAGTTTCTTGGCAAGATCAAAAAGGTGAGCTGTCTGAAATCTTTATTTTGGTTAAACTTTCATATATACCTTGGTATCATAGTTTATTTTCCAGCGTGAAATTATGATAACTGAAGCCCAAAAAAGGAAATGCTGTGATATAGAGGGAAGTTGTGTTTCACACTGTTTCAAGCTGCCTTTTAATAGTACATGGCAGCCATATATCTTCCAATTCTTCCAACATTAGGTTTAAAGAATATTCCGCTGGTAATAAGTAACTTTCGGTATTTTTACGCTACGTCTATGACTTAACTTTATTGCTAATGATGTGGAAGTGAATCCTGGGACTTTCTGTCGCTAAATCAGGACGTAACATGTCGATTATTTCGATAGTCGATAAAAATCGATCGTTGTCGATCGAATTCGATACTAATCAGTCGACAAATATCGGATGTCGATAAAAATCGATCACACGATTTCTTGTGATTATCGACTTTGATCGATTTTGATTTTTAGTTTTTTATTCAACTTTATTGCCATACGGATTTACTTAAGAGCTGTTTACACTTCTCTAATTTCGTGGCCGATTGAAAAATGTCTGCATTTTTGTCGATAAAATCGGTAATCAGTTGAAAATCTTGTGATTATCGACTTTTATCGACAAATTAAACTTGTCGATTGACAATTATCGACAAATATCGAGTACTATCGACTTATCGACTGCGTTTTCGATGATCGACTTTGATCGACATGTTACGTCCTGCTAAAGGCAGGTCTTTTAATTGACTTTTGATATATGAGCTTTTATACATTTCATTGACAAGATATCCATGGTAATTTGCTGGAAATGGAGCATCTATAATGTTCGTGATAATGTGTACATCTTTATAACAAATAAAGAGCAAAGGATGCAATATCTGGGAATAAAGTGCGGTTCAATTTGCTGCAAGGGTGAGGTGGTGCATGCGGTATATTTAACAATGGGGTAATGATCATTTTGATAATAATGATGTTATAGTTATATTAAAAAGAAAAAGAATAATATTAATAAAGTATAATTATGATTTTCATTTATACCCTCTGTTATTCTCTTTGTAGGACACTGAAATGGTTAAACGTATTGGCCTTACTTCACATATTCAGCATCACAAARCTCATCWGTGTAAACKAGTAACTTTGACTATATTCAGACAGGAAATGGTTTCACAAGAGACTATATAATGACCACAGTAGTAGGAATCATTTTAGATTTGTACCATCTCACTCAACAATGTACTGGTATAATTATATAGTCTACACAAAACATGTAGAGACTGAATGAAACAATCCTAAATCCGTGATTATTGTATTTTAAAACCCCAAAATATAAGAACCCGTCTTAAGCCAAGTGAGATCAAGCAGGTTCTTACAGTTAAATTATGAACTCTTGTTATAGAGACAACATTGTATACTTCTGAAATCAGTTATGTTAGGCTTATCATGATACAGTTGTGAATAAATACTGTATATTTAAGGACCAAATCCAAGTTTATTTATTTTTCTGGTAATCAACAACTATAATATCTCCTTCATAGAAATTAAGAACCTAATAAGAAACTACTTAGCCTAAATTGCCAATAACTCTTGTAGGTATCACAAAAATATATAAGAAACTATTTTGCCAGACTTCAAAAATTGTAGGTTCTTTACATGCAGGCAACATTGTCATCAAAGAATTGTGAATCAGTGAATTGATAATTACTACTTAGAAAATGTGTCTGAATATGGAAATGAATAACTGAAAATTATTATTGTATAAAACCCTCTCTAAGACA